ACGACGTCCTTAATCATCATCTTCCACCAATAATGTCTCATTAGGTAAAGTAACTAGCTCAGTACCTGCAATCTCATCAATACTAACAACGGGTGTATCAATATGCTCAACGAACTGAAAAGTATTACCTGCATCGCTTAAGGTAGAGGGGACATCAGCAAGGGGATGAGAGCGAGGGCGACGAACATAAACCTGCAAAGGAAGAGAGACTGGTGACTCTGTACTGACAGGGATGAGTAATTCTGGAGGAGGAGAGACTGATGACTTTGTAGCGATAGTGACCAATGGTTATGGCTCCTGTGGTAACGAAAAATCAAAAGAAGTATCATCAACTGGAGGGGCAGACATAGGACTGGAAGAAAAATAAGGAATATGCTCAAGAAAAGTAACATTTAGACTGTGATACATATGTCGCCTGACAGGATCATAACACTGATACCCTTTAGACTGATGACAATAGCCCAAAAAGACACAACGAATCGCTTTATCATCAAGCTTATGGCAAGTAAAAGACCGATACTGAACAAAATATGTGCAGCCAAAAACAAGAAGGGGGACCGAAAAAAGTGTCCGCTCAAGGAATAAAACATATAAGGGAGTCCTATGCTGAGGAACACGACTCGGTGTACGATTGCACAAAAAGGTAGAAGTCAAAACATCAAAATGTCAATAAGATTTTGGTACCCCCATACCTTTAAATATACAACGTACCATCCCTATCAGACTCCTACTTTTTCTTTCAACAACTCTATTTCGCTCAGAAGTATATGGACAAGTGAGCTGCTGAAGGATACACTGAGAAGAAATGTGAGACACTAAGGCATCAGACACATATTCTTTTGCATTATCCGAACGAAGAGCACGAACAATGACATCGAACTATGTCTTAATCATTTGAAGAAATTGAGTGATGATAGGGAGTACATCAAATTTCCTACGCAAAAAGGTAGACCCAAGTACAACAAGTATGGTCATCTATAAATGTCATATAGTATTGGACACCTGACAGAGCAGTAATAGGAGAGGGTCCTCAAATATCCGAGTGTATTAGGTCAAATGGTTTGGGTGACTGATGCATGCGAGGAATATAACTGGTTCGAACATATTTTGATAGGGAACATATAACACAGTCAAGTTTACCACTAACACAAGCTTTGCTCAAAACAGAAAATAACATACATAAATATTTAAAATTTGTATGCCCAAAACGGTCATGCCACAACTGAACAGTTTTTGATTAAAAATCATAACGACAAGTATTAGGTAAAATACTAGCATGCAAGCTAGGAACAGATAAAGACAAAGCATGTGAGGGAGATGGAGGTGGAGAAACTGGTGAAATCGGAGGTGGATCACCTAAATAATAAAATTCATCTCTCTCATGTCCCCTGATAATCCTTCTCCTGGTACTTAGGTCCTACAAATAACACGAATCAAATAAGAACACAACCGCACAATGAAAATCTCTGGCTAATTGATGTACAGATAATAGATTCATGGCCAACTTTGGCGTATGAAACTCCGAACGTAATGTAAAGTCATCTGGGAGGCGGACTGTACCCCTACTAACAATAGGGGCATGTGTACCATCTGCTAACTGAACTTAAGTATGTAACTGCTCGTCAAAAGAGGTGAAATGATGAGCCTCACCTGTCATATGACCATTCACACCCAAGTCCAGCATCCAAAGGGGAGAGAGACTGGCACAAACATGAGAGGCACGAGGTATACCTGTAGTGGTGGCAGTAGTAGTGATCAGACTCTAAGAAGTTGGGGCAGATATAAGTATATCCAATCGAAAAGTGATAGCATCCATATCACTCTGCCAAGGAGAAACAACAACGGGAGCAGCGACAGTAAGTTGTGGTACCTCACCAATGGTAGCAGTACGACTACGAGAATGTGGCTTAAGCTCCGGATAGAGCTTCCAGCAAGTAGCCTGAGATGTCTTGGTCGGCCACAATAACCACACTAGCGAGAACCAGGAGGTATATTACAGGTGGAAGTACTAACAACAGAGGTCTTAACAGTAGTAGTCATAGCAACAATAATACTAGGGCACCCGTGACAGAAAAAACAACTCTAAGATAAATAGAGGGGATAAAATAAGATAGAACAATATACCTCAAGTCGAACAATAGCGACAAATAAAGAAGGTCTAAAAAGCTCCCAAATAATCAGGTTACGGTACCCAGAATTCCAAGAAATATAAATAATGAATTTACTGCATCAAGAGTAGATCATCGGATAAGATGATTCATCCCCTCTTTAAAAGGTTAGAAAATTAAGGTAGTGGCGCAAAGAGATGACAACACTACGACAAAAACCGTGGCGCACGAAGTTGCGAGGAAGAGTGTGATCCAGTAGTGGGCTGGTTCGCTAGAGTGGGTACTGGGCTGATTGGGTTATTGGGTTGGTTGGGTACTGGGCTTGTTGGGTTTTAGGTTCGTTTGGGCTTTGAGCTTTGATTTATTGAGACGGTCTATGCAAGTCTATGCAACATAGATATAAACAATAGTGGGTACTGGGTTGTTTTGTTTGTTGGGTGGCTTGGGTTTTAGCAGTCGGTGGTTGGTTTTGGGCTGATTCTTTTCGACACTGTTTTGTTTACTGGGTGGCTTGGGTTTTGGCAGTCAGTGCTTGCTTGGTGGCTTTGGTTTGGTTTGATGAGGTTTGATGGTGGGCAGTCGCAGTCGGTGGTTAAGGTTGACGAAGAGGCAGTCGATGGTTGGCTTTGGGCTAATTTTTCGGCACTGTTTTGTTTACTGGCTTGGGTTTTGGCAGTCGGTGCTCGCTTGGTGGCTTTGGTCTAGTGGGCTAATGTATTGGTTTGATTTGACGAGGTTTGGGCAGTCGGTGGGTATGTTCTCGGTGGTTGGGTGCTTGGGTATGTTCTAGGTGAGGAGACAGTGGGTTGGCTTTCGGTTTCTGGTTTTGTCGCCGGCAGTGGGCTAGCTTCTGTTGGCTGTAGGGAAGGTGGTGGAGGCTAGAGTTAAGGTTAGGGTTGTGGCTCGGATACCAACTTGATGTATTTGAGAGTAACAAGAGATACAAACTAAATATAGAGTCCCGTATGTATATATTGTTAATGAAAGTTTACAATAATAGTTTACAATAATGATAAAAAAAAGGTAAAATAAAATAAATTCTAATAAATTAGGTTGTTATATCTCCAATATTGATGTTTAAAGGTGTAAATTGAGAATTGAAGCATCTTTCAAGGTGCAAAGTGACATNATATCTCCAATATTAATGTTTAAAGGTGTAAATTGAGAATTGAAGCATCTTTCAAGGTGCAAAGTGACATTAGCCCTGGTAATAATCAGATCAATGCAACAGTGATGACCCCAAAATATAAGTCAGGGGGAGGAGGACAAATAGAACAGCAGGCAGTGTTGAGATGTGTGTGACATTGCAACTTAAACAGAACTTAAGATGATGAAAAGCTGATCATACAATCCCAACCGTGGGATAAGGCATCGAACTTTGTCTATTGGTTGATATCCCAACCAATCAGAATCGTTTATTTTCTCTCCTCAATGAGAGTTATTCAATATAACGGTTATTTCACGTAATCACTCCCTTCATTTTTCTCTCCCCTAAACTATTTCATTGCTCTACAACTACAAAACTTTGCAAACATCAACAATGATTGATCCCCAGTGTCTATTTGTCTATTGGTTTTGATTGTAGAAATGATGTGAGAGGATGGAAACTCTTCTATTTGGTTTGCTTGTCTCAGGGGTTTGTTATTGGCAGTCTAACAATGGCCTTTGGTCCAATGGTATTTTTTTCCTTGTAAATGTCTTGCCTTTTCAAGGTCAAGGGTTCAAGCCTCTCTCCCCCTCCTCCTCCCCCTCCCCTAAAAAAAAAAAATTGGCAGTCTAACAATGAGACTTCTAGTGGAAGGGCTGCTACTTCAGGCAACGTTGACCTTGAATTTCGACTGTGTTAAGGCTAATCCGATTGCTCTTGTTCCCATTATCTCCTCTTCTTTAACTGGAATTACTTCTTGTCTGAGATCTAAAAACAGTGAAAATGCTGGAGGCCATGTTGGTATTCGTGTCATTGCTTGCAATCACAAATTGAAGCTTAATGTCTCATTAACTCTACCTGAAGTGAATCAGGCACCAACCAGAAACTTAGTTTCTTCCAGTTATGCTTCTGTGTCTGTTGAAAGTCAAATTGTAGTGTTGCACAGCCTGTGTTCTTGTCATGCACACCCATGGGACCGCCTCCCTTCCTTGTCCANAATGTCTCATTAACTCTACCTGAAGTGAATCAGGCACCAACCAGAAACTTAGTGTCTTCCAGTTATGCTTCTGTGTCTGTTGAAAGTCAAATTGTAGTGTTGCACAGCCTGTGTTCTTGTCATGCACACCCATGGGACCGCCTCCCTTCCTTGTCCAACATACACACACACGCACACACACATAATTTTCTGGAATGGTGAAGAATTCAATATCTTTTCTACTTTAAAAAAGTATGATAGTCTGTAATTCTCTAATCTTGTTGAAAGCATTCTGATAGTCATGTTTCTGTGGAAATACAATCTCTATTCACTTTTCTCTCTGTTCCATCAACTTATATACACCATCTNCGCACACACGCGCGCACACACATAATTTTCTGGAATGGTGAAGAATTCAATATCTTTTCTACTTTAAAAAAGTATGATAGTCTGTAATTCTCTAATCTTGTTGAAAGCATTCTGATAGTCATGTTTCTGTGGAAATACNCACGCACACACACATAATTTTCTGGAATGGTGAAGAATTCAATATCTTTTCTACTTTAAAAAAGTATGATAGTCTGTAATTCTCTAATCTTGTTGAAAGCATTCTGATAGTCATGTTTCTGTGGAAATACAATCTCTATTCACTTTTCTCTCTGTTCCATCAACTTATATACACCATCTGTCAAGTCTGTCCAATACTCAACAATGGATCATCTACAGTGCTTTATGCTTTGACAGCCTTATCAGATACATGGGAACAGAATCACATCCTTGCAAACCCTACTCCTCCATTTTCAAGCTCTCTCACTGTGGTTTTGAACATCTCCATCTGCCAAAAAAAACAGCAACTTCTGCCCTTTGTAATTTCCATGTTGCTTATATGTGCCAAAAGGAGAAGGAAAACACTTACTTTCAGCGCATGAAACACCTCTCTTTTCCAATTCTTTGTTTCATATTCCATGGCTTTAAACAAAAACGAAAAGGAAAATCATGTTAAACAAGGAAATAACTACTGAGTTCCCACATGTAAACATANGAAACAGAATCACATCCTTGCAAACCCTACTCCTCCATTTTCAAGCTCTCTCACTGTGGTTTTGAACATCTACATCTGCCAAAAAAAACAGCAACTTCTGCCCTTTGTAATTTCCATGTTGCTTATATGTGCCAAAAGGAGAAGGAAAACACTTACTTTCAGCGCATGAAACACCTCTCTTTTCCAATTCTTTGTTTCATATTCCATGGCTTTAAACAAAAACGAAAAGGAAAATCATGTTAAACAAGGAAATAACTACTGAGTTCCCACATGTAAACATATAATATCCAAGTATAGGTTGATGAACCTTTCTTTATCCCCTCTTTTATTAAAGGGTTGACCCCATGTGACCTGCCACATGGACTATCCCAGCAGCGGCTGCTTCTTTCCCATTGTATCGTTTTCTACATTTAAGTACATTTTTTTAGAGCTTTCAAGTTTTCTTCAAGTTATATGGTCCAGTAATGGTAGAGAGACACTTTTGGACAAGGTGTAGTGATTTTGAATGCATAGATGAGGGACAATACCCTGTGAGTATTGCTTCCTGAAAGGAGGATGGGTGTAACTTCGAACGAAGAACAGCCATGATTCCTGGCGTCAGTGGCAGTCCCAAGTCAATCTACAGAGAAAAGCATGATCTGTTATTTGGCTGTGATTGAGAAAACATCATGGAGACAGTAATACAAGTGTAATAAGAAAGAGATGGGCATGAATTACCTCGTTCATGAATATGTAACCACGGCTTGAGATCATTAGCCTGTAGACATGAGCCAGTGCAAATATACAGCCAGCTCCTACTGCATGACCTCTACATGACAAGATAGCTAACAATTCAGACTAGACACAAAGATAGAATTTAAATTTTAAAAGCTTCAGTTTACAAAGGATACTGTGAGACTAAATTTGGCTGTCCATCAGCTAGGAAGGATTCAAATTATGCCATAACATAAGGTAGTCAAGGTAATCTAAATCAATTATAAAGTACCAATCACTTAAATGGTTGGTTTATAGCATTAATTTGAGTAAGTTGATTTACAAGTAGATGTAAATATTAATCGTATTTGACAGGTGAAAAAGAAAATATTTTGATTTTTTTGCCCTGTCAATACAAAGCAGTGATGACAAGAATAGAACAGATTGCTCGAGCTTCAAGCAACTTAACGATATTTGTAAACATTTTGGCTGCTGGGTTCATTTCTCCAGCAGAGGCCTCCAGTTTATGATTTGTGAAAACCATGTATTGGAGAAAAATGATATCCATCCAGTTGGGAATTTGGTTATTATCTATCAGCTTTCCCGGACATTTGAAGGAAAAAGGGCGAGATATCAGTAGTTGATCAGCTACAAATGGAGAAGACAGTAAAGTGAACTGAATTCTTTATTTTGTTAAAGAATTTATTTGAGAATTTTACCTGATAACTGCTATGGTTGGGATAGAAAATGTCAGCAGCTTGCTTACATACTCCTGCTCCCAAAATGATGTAAACATTATTAAGCATTCATCAGTCAAGAAGAAGAAAATAACCTTCCCTCGTGGTAAATACTGAACACTAATACAAAAGCACACTTACAATGGCGCCTCACCTATCACACTTTCTTTAGTAGTTTACATCCATTCCATTTGAGAAGAATTTACCCTGTTTCCACATTCAATAAAATCCTGATTTAGGCTCCGATACATAACTTTTTTAAAAGAAGTTTTTGAAATATGTAAAGCGCTTGCAATAAATCCGTTCTATCCAATTCCATTTCTAAAAGAAGCAAAAAATACAAAAACAGAAAGTATAAGGGGCAAATTGAAACAAACTTTATGGATTTTTACAATTGTTTTAATAGAAAATTGGTCAGAAAGAGGTGACTGTTACCCTTTATACAATTTTACAATAAAATTGAGACAGTTAAAGGTTGAGGGGTATGTTAAGCTTGGAGGCACAGGTAGACAGTTGAATCCCAAACCACTCTCTCTCATTCCAATAAATATGCTACTTCTCAAGATGAGATGTCTTCATTGACGCCATGCGTATATATAGCAAGGAATGGTATAAATAGGAACAGTTTGACAAGAAAAGAATGTACATTCGGTCATGGAGTATGACACAAAAGGGAGAAGAGTATTTCTATTTGGTATTTAAATATGTTAGGGTAGCTTCAAATGATGAAAAATAATAAATATTTGGAATTTTACTGATGAAAAAAGAAACAAAATATTTACTGTTCTTAATTACCTGGTTGGTAGTAATCATAGCACATGCTCTTCCATCCCTTGTTACCTGGATTTGAATCACTTATACCAATCAATATGTAAGGTTCAGTTGGATTGTCAAGAAAATAAACAAAATGGGAATAAAAGAAGATAAACTATATATGTTTCCACGTCAACCTGAACAAGGTTGCAACTTTGAGCATAGCTGCCACTATTGCTTATATCCAAGAATTGTCGCAACGGGCAACAACGTGTTTTTTTGGGATTCGTAAATGTAATGTAGACTCGGGATGTTTACAATCACTAAAAAATCACATGCATTGGATCATCAATCGAATTGGAACCTCGAGGTATTGAATTCAACTGGATCATCTTATCCAAACTATTCTGACAAGGGAGCCTAACTGAATTTTGACTACGGGAAGTTTGGGTATTTTGTCTCTTATCTTGATTCTTCTGTAGTCGTTATCTATGTGGAGAGATTACTTTCGTGACTCAAACTTCAGACGGCTTGCTCATAATGAAACAACTTTACCAATGTTTCAAGGTATAAAGAGTAGTGTTGAGTTGTTTGATTATTTCTCATGTTTTGATATCTAGAAATTTTATGTACCTGATCAACCAGTTCATCAATCAATCGTATCGATTCTGGAGAAAACCCACTCAAATTTGAAAACAAAAACATTAGTATATATGGAAATGGGTTACCACAGAATCAGAACAGCAGAAACAGCCTAGTATCAAACATGGCATGTGCAGCTGCGGGTGTGTGACTCTCTCTCTCACTCACTCACACACACATACACACACACTTAGGGAGGGAGAGGGAGGTAAGGTACCTATGTTGGATGCGTCCAGAGAAGTTAAGTATGTAAACACCTCCTTCAAGCCTTTCCAAATTACAGAAGTTAGTTTCTTGGTTAATCTTGCTGGATGGTGTTATAGAACAAGAGAGTTGGGCTGCTTCTCCCATTTGCACTACTAGCAATGCCTTGTCCTGAAAGGCCAAATAATGAGAACCCCCACAAGTACTTTCGATGAAAACTCTACCTCTATATATACATATTCTCCTACAGTCATGTTTGTTGGGAATAAACTCGCAACAATTGGTGACTTTCACGATAAGAAAATAAATAAGTAGAATAAAGAAATTAAAGTTCACTATAACTGCAAAAATTTACGTGGGCAAAATTATTTTGCCTATGTCCTAGGGGCGCAATTCAGTCTCTTTTCGTTACTATTAAGAAAAAATGGGTACAATGATATAAGTGCATTTCTAATGTTGACCTAAACTCAAACTCAAATTTGAGTAAAAAGTTTGATTTAATACAATATATTCTAATGGACAAACTCAAATTTAAAGAAAAGCAAACTCAAATTTAAAGGGTGGTGAAATATGATCATTGAATCTTTTAAAAGAGTAAAATCTGACCATTAAAGATTTGAGTAAATATTTAAGTTTGTTTTGATTTGAGCAAAAAGCCGAGTCTCTCTTCATTTGATATAGGTTTGAATCAAAAATTATAACTTATTTTTAATCTATTTTTATTCAAATTTAAATTTAAATAAGGAGCGGAGAGGACCCAAGTCTTACCACTCAAGTTTAAATTTCAAATCCAAACTCTTAACCCTCGTACAACTAACTCAACTTTACCCTCTCAAACCCACCCACCCCCGCGGGGCTAATAAACACTAGAGTCAGCTCTTACGCTAGACAATCGAAGCCATCATCTAAACCCCATATTTTTGGGTTAACTTTAAATTATTTTCAAAAAATTTAGATTCAAGTTTAATTAAGTCTATATTTGTTTTCAAGGTTCCAAATAAAAACTTTTACATCAATGTTCAATCAAATCAAATTTTATTTTTCGAACCCCTAAATTTTTTTTTATAGACGCGAGTTCTATGAAGTCAAATTTTACTTTTACGAGTTTTATATTAATATGAGATTCATTATATTAATCATAATACTATTCATGTCTTGGAACCTACCTTGTATTATAAAACTATGTAATTATTTCTTTCGAATATTATTTTTAATTATTGTTGATCAACTTGAAAAGTATGTATTTTAGTTTTTCTTTTTAAAATTTGATAGCCTTTTAATAAGTTAAATTTATTTTCATTTAAATTGAGTTTGTTACTAGCTTATTTCTATTATCATGACAATATAAACATCACTAGAGTGTCTAGAATTAAACTTTAAATCTACTCTCATATTATTATTTTTTTTTACTCTCATACTATTTAGTTGATTATTAGTCCTTGAATGAATTTTATAAATTTAAAGGATAAATTGCACTTTGCACCCTAAAATATTTCAAGTTTTCTATTTTACACCTTTAAATATTAAATTCTCTATATTACACCTTTAATGTATTAAAAATGTTATAATATATAGCTCTTCTGTTAATTTTTTATTATTTTTTCCCTCAGTGTTAATGGGTTGGCTACTGACGGAAAAAATAACGGAAGTTAATAGAAGGGTTATATTGCAACACTTTTAATACATTGAAAATATAATGTAAAAAATTTAATTTTTGAGGATACAAAATAAAAAACTTAAAATTTGTTAGGGTGTAAAATATGAAAAACTCAAATCTAAATGATATGCTAAAGAATATGAGTAAAAAAATTTAAATAGTGAGTTGACATCCCAAATAACAAGAAATTTATTTTTAAATAAATATATTTCAATATATTAATAAAAATAAATATATGTTATTACAATAATCATAATTTAATGAGGCCCCATCCAAATATTCTGCCTAAGACCTCCGTTTAACTCGGGTCAGCCCGGATAAAAACACACACTGTCAAACAAAGAATGAAAATCGAACTGAGGTGGCATATGCAAACTTCCATTCGAAAATAAAAGATTCTAATGCCGACGCAGGCCACCAAGTTTGAAGACAATACGTGTAATTTACTCTTTTATGTATGGTGGGGATTCTTGAGCCTTCACATTGATAGTATCTCTCTGCCTTGTCAGCGAGTCTAAAAAATAAATTATAAGAGACATATACACAAAGATGTGCCCAATCCGAACGAAAATGTTATACAAGATCCTATAAATATTTATTCACTGATAATAATAATACTAAATATTTATTAAATTATATTTATTTACAAATTATTTGTTGCTTTTGAGATATAACATACTCATTTAAATTTTATAAATAAAAATTATGTTAATCAAAGTCAAAAATGGAGATTAAATACAATAATACATACTATTTGTTTAAGATAAAAGATAAACATAATTAAAAATTAGTTTGATTAGTAAAATAATTTTTTTTTCTAAATGTATATAAAAATAAGAATTTATATAAGTTGAGTAGTCTTAAAATAAATGAGACATTTATAATATAAAATATGATAAGTTTCAATAAGTCCATTTGATAGTCTCAAATAGATTTATCCAACGGTCACCAAAATCTCTCTCAAAACTATTCAAATTAAATTTCCCCCCTAAATCCATCACTTCTCATTTACGTTGTATCGTGTTTTCAGGCACGAGTTGTTAGATATCATAGAAAAAATGAACTATTTTTATAAATAAAAAAGATAGCTAGTACAGTACTTCTACTTACTTAATTTTATAGTCATCTTGTACATTGTAAAACAAAATTATTAAAAAA